TCAAAACTACATTGAGATACCATCTCTTGCCAGTTAGAATGGTGATCATTAAAAAATCTGAAGACAGCAGATGCTGGAAAGGATGTGGAGAAATAGGAATGCTTTTACGCTGTTGGTGGGAGTGTGAAATTAGTTTAACCATTGTGGAAGACACTGTGGCAATTTCTCAAGGATCTGAGATGACAAATACCATTTAACCCAGCAATCCTAATACTGGGTATATATCCAAAGGATTATAAATCATTCTATTCTAAAGACACATGCACACGTATGTTTATTGTTGCATTGTTCACACTAGCAAAGACTTGGAACCAATCCAAATGCCCATCAATGATAGACTGGATAAAGAAAATGTGGCACATATACACCATGGAATACTATGTAGCCATAAAAAAGGATGAGTTCATGTCTTTTGCAGGGACATGGATGAAGCTAGAAACCATAATTCTCAGCAAACTGACACAAGAATAGAAAACCAAACACCACATATTCTCACTCATAAGTGGGTGTTGAACAATAAGAACGCATGGACACAGGGAAGGGAACATCACACATCAGGCCCTGTTGGGCGTGGGTGGAGCTAGGGGAGGGATAGCAGGGGGTGGAGGGCTTGGGGAGGGATAACATTAGGAGAAATACCTAATGTAGATGACAGGAGGATTGATGCAGCAAACCTTATGTATGGCATGTGTATACATATAAACAATCCTGCATGATCTGCACATGCACCTCAGAACTTAAAATAAAAGTAAAAAAAGAAGACATAGAAGTTATTTTCAGTAATTACATTAAATTTAAGAATAATCTTAATAGATTGTCCTGATGGGGATGACTAAAGCTTTCTTGAGATAAATCTATGGCTTAAGTAATTTATAAAGAAAAACCAAAAATTATAGTTATCTCATCACTAGAATGTTTAAACAGATGATTATCTGGCAGGAATATAGTAGGAAACACTCCTTTATTGATTTCTGCATGACCTCTTAGGGGTCCTTCACCAGTCTAATCTTTCAGTTTATAATTCACAGGAGTCTCATACTAGTTTAATGTTGACCAGTATTGTAGTCAGTAGCCCAGTCAGACTATAGCATGTGTTGTCTTGTCATCCTATCTCTATTCCTGTAACAATTATTTTATTTATCTGCATTCATAAGGACAAATAATCTATCTGGAGGACAGTAAACTCACCGCTACCTTAAATGGAAAGCATCACATACTGTTCCTAGCAATCGACTGAATTTATTTTAAATAGAAGACAGGACACACATAACCATTTCAATAAAAAGACTGTAATGATATTATGCATTTAAAAAATGTTAGTTTTTTCACACCTAGTTAGTCCTACAGAAATATTAGGTATTTTAAAAACCATCATATTCTTATATTTATATTCATAGTCATGTTATTTCTAGCCAGATAAATAAATGCAATTGTTAGAGGTTGGAAGTCTTGAATGTAGACAATGTTTATTTAAGATGATAACCTGTAAGAAACATTCAAAAATAAAATCCAAAAATAAGAAATTAAGCAATATAAGCTTATTGGATTAGTGATATATAGCATGGTGAGAAAATGCAATAAATACCCTCAAAGATCAAATGCCACCTGCTGTGATTCTCTTGGCAGAAGACCCATTGGATAACCATTGATCTCTTCCATGTGGGGTAAAAGAAATTCTAACCAAGGGCCATTTTCCCAGTGGATATGTAGACTTTCCAATAAAGCTTTGTTTTTATGGCCACAGAGAGACTATATGCATTTCCATTGGGAAGTGAGTGATTGAGAATATAAATCACTTGGGAATCTTTGATCAAAGTATTTTTCTCTAAATTCTCTACAGCCATCTTCACTTTTGCAATTTTCTGAAGCCTGGGTTCTCCTAGAAATTTCAACTAACTTTTTCCAATAGAAGGTAGATATACTGTAATCTAAATAATCTTCCCAACTAGCTTTTTGGAAGAGATTTCTTCAGAGATACAAGAAAAAATTATTTGTAATATACACTTTAAAACTGAGCAAAAATCACTATTTTTATCAAGCTGTCAATCTTTTTCAGTTCTACCCTTTACCATGTGAAAATGCAAGCTTTCAATTATCCTCTTATGCACATTCATCATTTGATGGCTAATACTTCTTCCTTTTGATTTTGTTTCCCCACGACTGTGCTCCAAAACTTGTATAGAACTTCAGGATCCAAATGAACTATTTCCTTCTTCCTCTACCTTCACTAAGACTCAATTTTCCCTAGAGTGCCATTAGCCCTGTTAACTTCTAAAGTGGAAATGGGTCAACCTCCCATTCTAATATATTACAAGTCAGGAGAAATAATGGTGCTAATGGCATTAAATTGACACCATTGTTTTTCTTCATTGAAAGAGAACCCCTTTATTCAGATTCATGAAATACATCACTAGTCAATATAAAAACTTCCTTTACTGTCATATTATTGAGGTCTTTCTGATCCTTAGCTTAGCTATGTCTCAGTTCTTGTCTCATAACCAGAAAAAATTATGTGCATGGACACCAGAGAGTGAGTGGAGTAGAATTTATTAAGCAAAAGGAAAGCTCTCAGCAAAGAGGCGACACAGAGGGTGGTTTCCCTACCTGAAGGTGGGAAAGTCCCCCATGTGGTTGGGAATGGGAAGTATGTGCCAATCAGTTTGTGAGTATGCAAAAAACATTAAATAAATGGAAGACATCACTCAAAGGTGGGCACAACAGTGTAGAAAACCAATTAGGAAAGGTTGGGGATCAATCGGAGAAAAATGCACCAAACATGAAGACAAGTTTCTAATCTGGTGCATGGATACAACTTGTAGCTCGACTTTCAGGCCTTAAACTGTCTTTGGCTTGGAGGTGGGGTTTCACTGGGGACCCACCCCTATCTGCCTAGGGATTTGGCTGCCTCCTGCTTCTCTTAATATTTAACCTCCCAATTATTATATTTTCCCAAAGTATTAGAGAGGGAAGTGAGTCCCAACTTATAATCTTCTTGATTTCAGTTCTTACTGTCATCAGGGAAATAGTCTAACAGTCATGTTTTAAACATGCCCAACAATATAGTTCTAAAGATCTATTCAATTTCAACACTAGCCTGAAGACTCCATTCCACAGCCCACTACATGGACATATGCTGGAACTTAGATGTGCTATGACTCTTTCATTTTTTCTCTCATAATCTCTAAAGTTGAAAATATATGTATTTTTTTATAGCTGACTTCTCAAATCATATTGCAGCTGAATGCTGTTCCAGGAAATAATTATGGCTTATAAACTAGTGACAGCTCAAATCACGGCCTCTAAACTACCTTATCCATCAGTAACCCCAGGGCAATCAAACATTTTCTGAGATTTTAGCCACATTTTTCTTTCCAAAATACTTATACCAAACCTTTCAACTCTAAAGTCTCTTTATTCATCTGCTTAATTCTCTCTCCTAACATGGGCTGGCATACAACATTATGGAAAATATTGATATCTTTAGGAGTAAAAAGTATGCAATTTTCTAAAGCTGGAAATCATAGAAATGGCATCCCACCAGAAATCAAGGAACACTTACCTGAGAAAATGCTGGCTTATGCAGAATGCCTTGGAAGAATGTGTTTAGACGGTTAAACATAACTTGAAATAATTCAAATCCGGCAGGAGATGTGTGTGGAAGGGTAGGTTGGAAGCAAATAGAGCAAATTTTAACTTGTTGCTTTCATCATACATACCTTTCACAAAGATAAATATTATCCTTTTGAACTTCCAGCTATCCATAGGAGTAAATTTATACAGATCCACAGAAGACTGGATGAACAGCAGGAACATTTTAGTAGCAGGAAACATTGGGAGATGTCAGAACAAAAATGATCTGTTTAAAGAGACAGAAGAAAAGGAGGTAATTCATCAGTTATATTATTTGAGGCCATTTCAGAGTAGTTATTCATTTAAAAGGTCAGTGTGGAGATTTGCTTTGCAAATGGAACAAATTAAGAAAATGATAGGCTGAGAGTCCATTACACAGTGACTGTTAGCACAGGGTTCCTGTTAGCAGGGCACTGATGAGCCTTTGAATAGAATGGGATTAGGAATTGATTTTTCAACTGTTAAATGGTATCAGAACAGGTAAACATATAAGGTTGTGTGGTTTGGAACAAAGCTTCATGAATAGCTTTTTAAATAATTAATTATTTATCCTTTTGTTAATGCTCTGTTACCAAGGCCAGCACTACTGTTTAGTAATTCCTTTTAATAAGGCTTCTCAAAGCTGCTTTTAAGTTAGATTCCATTTGAAAGGAAAATAATTGACTACATAAAAGAATTAGAAACCACCATATTAAAACCAGATGTTTAAGTGAATGGTTTTGTTCCTTTTATGCTTTCAAAGTATATTCTTCCTGTTAAGAAATAAAACTATCAGAAAAGCAATAAATTAATCAGGTTATTTAATATGCAATATCTAACAAAATTATTTTGCAACAGTGCAATTGAAAAATAGTTTAATCAAGTAAGGAGATACACTATGCTGTGCAATATAATATGTGATAAGAAGAGTAATTGAGCCATGTTGCTGTTACACAGTATCTTAGAGCAGAAAAACAGAGGCTTATTTAACTGAATACTTTAAAATGACAATCGCCAGTTTTGCAATAGGATGTCTTTTCTCATTTTCTCTAGTAATGATTGGTTTTTGCTTTGTTTTGCTTTTCTTATGACAGAATTTCACCAGGATGGCCAGGCTGGAGTACAATGGGGTGATCTCAGCTCACTGCAACCTTCGCTTCTCAGGTTCATGCGATTCTCCTGACTCGGCCTCCCGCGTAGCTGGGACTACAGGCTGGCTAATTTTTACATTTTTAGTAGAGACGGAGTTTCACCATGTTGGCTAGGCTGGTCTCGATCTCCTGACCTCAAGCCTCAGCCTCCCAGTGTGCTGGGATTACAGGTGTGAGCCACCACACCTGGCCTCTAGCAATGCTAATAAATGTCTAATGTCTAGTGTTTTTATTTTTCAGATGGTTTAGTAGACACCTGTTAATTTGTCTGCCTCGCATTCATTCATCTTCCTCATGGTAAGTGCACCCCAATTTTCCTTGAGAATCCATGCCTCATTAAGTATTAGCCTATGAGGTCTACATGCCATTGGTTCCAGGGATGATCACAGAATCTAGGGATGGTTTATTAGAGCATGTCATTCTTTTAACCATAGTGATTGGATTAAAGATGGATAGAATATACCGTCATGTGATTCAGAACCAATAGCATTCAGTTTATTGACTGGCATGGTATGAACAGGAAGATCCATTTATACCTGAAGTAAGAAAATGTAAGCCAAATACTTCTTTGCTTAAGCAATTTTGAGCTGAGTTGCTGTCTCTCATAAAAGGAAGTGACTAAACTGAAACAAACGGATTCTTGGAGAAATCCCTAATGTACTATGGTGTTTTTAAACCCTTATACTCTTAAAGTGGCATGGGCCCATCCCCTCACCTCTTTCCCTCATAACACTCTTTTCTGGTTCTGATCATATAAAAGAGATAATGGTCACTTCCTTTTTATAATTTTCCTTTATGAGGTTGAATGACATTTACAAGTAAAAGGATAGTATCTCAATCAAATGTTACGGATTCTAAAACTAATCACTCGGTGCAATTAATCTGTGCTTATTCTAGTGTTTGTTTGTACTGCCTCTTCCCACACCAAGTCTATTTACTTTGTTCATTTACCAACATGGCTCAAAATACAATCAAAGCTTTAAAAAAAATTACAGCAGATGGATATCAAATTATATTGCAAAATTTATCAAGTCATTCGTAAGGTTACATTAAATAAAGAGTAGGAAATCTTATCTTGGCCCATGATTGAACTGAGAAATGAAATAGATGATATATTACAGAATCAAATCACAGGTAATGTCAATAGATGATATATTACAGAATCAAATCATAGGTAATGTTCTTACAATAGGCAAATAAATTAAACAAAGGAATAAACAAAGAAAGCTGTACTATTTGTAAAATATTTGAGTGTAGAGTTCAATATAATTGACCTAAATAAAGTAATTAATTTCAACCTCATAAGAGGTCTGAATTGGATCTTAAATATTAGTTCATTACTATGAGTAATGACGGGGATACAGAAAAATATAGGGTCCACAATGAAACTCACTTTCAACTAATTGAGCAATATTGAATGTGATTTGAAACCTCTTTGATATCCTTAAAAAGTGGAAATTGATGCCTCCTTGGAATAAAGCTTGGCCTTCAGACAAAGCCTGATTTTTCTACAAGATACAAAATGACAAAAAAGAAATCTTTTAAAAAAGAGTACTCAGCCTGTTTCAGTTAGAGAAAAAAACTCATTTTGCATATCAATTAAAACACACTTGATAGTAAGTTTCCTGCTAAACCCTTAAATTAACAATTGAGCTTTTTTTGGTATATTTTATTTCTTTTTTTATGTTTATTTTTTATCACTATACTTTAAGTTCTGGGGTACATGTGCAGAACATGTAGGTTTGTTACATATGTATACACGTGCCATGGTGGTTTGCTGCATCCATCACCCCATCATCTACATTAGGTATGTCTCCTAATGCTATCCCTCCCCAATCCCTCCATTCCGCTGCTGTCTTTCCCCTATCCCCTCAACTCCCAGCAGGCCCCAGTGTGTGATGTTCCTATCCCTAGGTCCATGTGTTCTCATTGTTCAATACCCACTTCTGAGTGAGAACAGGTAGTGTTTGATTTTCTGTTCTTGGGTCATTTTGCTGAAAATGATGGTTTCCAGCTTCATCCATGTCCGTGCAAAGGACAAGAACTCATCCTTTTTTATGGCCACATAGTTTTCCATGGTGTATATATGCCACATCTTCTTTATCCAGTCTATCACTGATGGGCATTTGGGTTGGTTCCAAGTCTTTGCTATTGTGAACAGTGCAACAATAAACATATGTGTGCATGTGTCTTTAGAATAGAATGATTTATAATCTTTTGGGTACATACCCAGTAATGGGATTGCTAGGTCAAATGGTATTTCTATTTCTGGATCCTTGTGGAATCACCACATTGTCTTCCACAATGGTTGAACTAATTTCACACTCTCACCAACAGTGTAAAAGCATTCCTATTTCTCCACATCCTCTCTAGCATCTGTCTCCAGATATTTTTAATGATCACCATTCTAACTGGTGTGAGGTGGTATCTCAATATGATTTTGATTTGCATTTCTCTAATGACCAGTGATGATGAGCTTTTTTTCATATGTTTGTTGGCTGCATAAATGTCGTCTTTGGAGAAGTGTCTGTTCATACCACTTGCCCACTTTTGATGCAGTTGTTTCTTTCTTGTAAATTTGTTTAAGTTCTTTTTAGATTCTGGATATTAGCCCTTTGTCAGGTGGGTAGATAGCAAATGTTTTTCCCATTCTGTTGGTTGCCAGCTCACTCTAATGATTTTTTTTTTTTTTTTTGGCTGTGCAGAAGGTCTTTAGTTTAATTAGATCCCATTTGACTATTTTGGCTTTTGTTGCCAACGCTTTTGGTGTTTTAGTCATGAAGTCCTTGCCCATGACTATACCCTTAGTGGTAATGCCCAGGTTTTCTTCTAGGGTTTTTATGGTGTTAGGTCTTATATTTAAATCTTTAATCCATCTTGAGTTAATTTTTGTATAAGGTGTAAGGAAGGAATCCAGTTTCAGCTTTCTGTAAATGGCTAGCCAGTTTTCCCAGCACAATTTATTAAATAGGGAATACTTTCCCCATTGTTCTGTTTAAGAAGTTCTCTTGCAATGATCTGCATATCCTTTCCTTCAACTTTGTCATCCTCATCATCCTAACATCATTAGTGATAGAATTTAATTTTATAATACTCATTAATATTAATGTCCTATTCAATATAATATCCTCCATAATCAATTTAATTAAATGATACCATAAACTCAGCATTGTGTTTAGTACTAGGTATATTTAAAATAAATATTAGCTACTATTATTGCTATTTTTCTTACCCTATTGGTCTTTTTTGAATAGCATAGTAAAGTAAGATATAAAATAGTATATATGATTTAGTAAAGATTGAAATAGGCATTGAATATAAGGCTGGGGTCCTGACTCACTTATACCTGAATTCTAGCTATAACTTTAGATAAATTAACAGATATTGTTTATCCTCATTTCCCTTAACTTAAAATGGGAAAGTGATATTATTATTTACAAAGTACAATGACGTTATTCACCCGAAGAATTTAGCAAAGTGCTTGGTCTTAGTAAGTGTTAATATTAACTAAAATAACAATAATATACTTTAGGCTGTTCTATTTTCATGAACATAAATGTTCTGACAGACATTAACTTTGGACCTCACACTTCCTAAAGGTTTTTTTTTTTTTTAACTTATATAATTTAATTATCTTTTAAACATAAGATCTAAAACCTTCAATATTTTTTTTTAATCTCTTTTTGTTTCCTTGGGTCTAATCTAGGAATCAATGAAAGGTCTATTTTTTATATAAAAATAGAAATATAATATAGACTATATTATCCTTTCTTTGCATATACAAAGTTCTTTGCACTGAACAAATACTTTTCATAATCTCATAATGCATTACAAATATTGGTTTAGGAGTCATGCAGCTGGAGACTACAAGATTCTGACCCTCCCTAAACTGCTCCTAAGACCAGTGCTTGAGATATTTTGCAAACCCTGTACTTGATGAGTCAGCTGGCACCACACATATCAATAAACTGGCTCATTGAATTTTGTGGCCCCCACCCAGGAACTGACTCAGAGCCAGAAGACAGATTCGGCTCCTCATTATTTCATCCCTGACCAATCAGCACTCTCGGCTCACTGGCTTCTGCCACTCACCAAGTTGTCCTTAAAAACTCCACTCCCCAGATGCCCAGGAGACTGATTTGAGTAATAATAAAACCCCAGTCTCCCACACAATCAGCTCTGCATGAATTACTCTTTCTCTATTGCACTTCTCCTGTCTTGAAAAATTGGCTCTGTCTAGGGAGCAGCCAAGGTGGTTACAATGAATGAAGTGGTCATGATGGCAAGGATGGAGATTATGTCTGTGTTCAGCAACATGGACTTCCATTCTCCGAGGCTGACCTGGCTACTGCTACTCTAGATGCCCAAACTGCCAATAGCAGAGATGAAGACTGAGTCCTCTCTGGGGTGATAAGCATGCTACTTAGTAGCAAGTTGATTAGATTGGACCACTCCTATATGGATGTGCAGCATTTTGTTCTTACTGGAATAGACATGTACTTTGGATGTGAATTGCTTCCCAATGCTTTTGCCAAAACTACTATCCATGGACTTACAGAATGCCCTATCCAAAATCATGTCATTTCACACAGCATTATTTCTGATCAGTGAACTCATTTCATAGCCAAAAAAAGTACAGCAATGGGACCATGCTTATGGAAGACATTAGTCTTATTATGTTATACATCATTCTGAAGGAGCTGGCTTGACAGAATGGTGGAATTGCCTTTTGAAGACTGAGTTACAGCACCAGATGCATGGCAATACCTTCTAGCGCTGAGGAAACGTTCTCCAGAAGGCTACACATGCTCTGAATCAACATTCAATATATGGCACTCTTTCTCCTATAGCTAAGATTCATGGATCCATGAGTCAGGGGTGGAAATAAGGGTGGAACCATTCACTATGATCCCTAGTGACAGATTAGCAAAAATTTGTTTCCTATTCTGGTGAACTTATGCTCTGCTGGCTTAGAGCTCTTGTTCTAAAGGAGACAGTAGAAGCAGTCTCCTTTAGAACAAGGCCTCTAAGCCAGCAGAGCATAAGTTCACCAGAATAGGAAACAATAATGGCACTGATCTGGAAATTTAGACTGCTGTTCAGCCACTTTGGACTCCTTATGTCTCTCAATCATAATTAATGGAGTTACTGAGTTGGTTGGAGTGATTAAGTCTAACTACTGAGGGGAAGTTGGCCTGCAATTTCACAATGGAGATGTGAAATGGAGAATGTAGTTGAAATACAAGAGACTTCCATCTCTCTAAGTATTACCATACCCTGTGATTAAACTCAATGGAAAACTACAACAACCCAATGCAGGCAAGTTGACAAATGGCCCAGATCCTTCAAGAATAGACTTGGATCATCCTGCCAGACAACTGAGAACCTTGTGAAAGCAGAGAGAATACAGAATTGTGATGAAAAAAGGTAGTTATAAATACCTGTTATGACCATGTGACTAGTAAGGATTAATTTTCTTATTTCCTATTTATTTTGTTATGAATATGTTTGTGAGGGCTGATTTTTAACTTAATTGGGCCATTGGGTGCACAGACAGTTGGTCAAATATTATTCTGGATATGCCTGTGAGGTGTTTCTGGATATAATTAATATTTAAGTCAGTATACTGAGTAAAAGAAGATTGCTCTCCCTAATATGGGTAAGCCTCCTTCAATTACTTGAAGATCTGAGTAGAATAAAAAAGGCAGAGTAAAAAGAAACTTCACCCGTGTGACTTCCTGAGCTGAGACACCAGTCATTTCCTGCTCTTGGACTAGAACTTAAACCATCAGCTTTCCTAGTTCTCACATCTTCAAATTCACACTAGAAATTACACTGTTAGCTCTCCTGGTTCTTAGATCTTTGGATTTGGACTGGAACTATGCCATCACTAGCTCTCCTCAATCTCCAGGTTGCTGACTGTACATTTTGAGATTGCTCAGCCTCCATAATTTCTATCTATCTATTTATCTATCATCTATCTATCAATTATCTACATTTCTATCTTTTTGATAGAAAATACAGATGATATATAGGTTATATATATAATATTGGTTTTATTTTTCTGGAGAACCTTAATGTAGCATCTATTTTGGAGGTTTTATTTACCTCTAAGAAGCATTGTATGTTTTCTTCCCTTAGATTTAGAAAATGATACATTTTAGTGGGCATACTGCCAACATTTAAAAAAAGAAACTTTCAGCTTCCTTTGCAATAGTAGTTGACCAAGTAACTGTTATTGATATGTGAATAAAGGTACTATGTGGAACTTCTGAGAGGCTTGAGCTAGCTGACACTCTAGCATCCATCTTATGGCATGGTA